GGTGTGTAAATCTCTCTTGGAGACTCTGCTTTCTCTTGTTTGTTTGTTTGTTTTGTTTTGTTTTTAAAGATTTTATTTATTTATTTGACAGAGAGATCATAAGCAGGCAGAGAGGCAGGCAGAGAGACAAGGGGAAGCAGGCTCCTCAGGCGCCCCAGCTTTCTCTTGTTTTGACCACATGCCCGGAAGTTGAGTTTCTAGGTCATACAGCACTGCAATTTTTTATTTTTGAGGAACCTCCATACTGCATAGTGGCTGCACCATTTAACATTCCCACCAACAGTGCTCAAGGGTTCTGATTTCTTCGCATTCTTCCCCACACTTAATATTTTATGGGTTTTGGGGGTTTTTTTGGTTTTTTTTTTTTTTTTTGTTTTTTGTTTTGTTTTTGGTGAGGGTCATCCTAATGGATGTGAGGTAATACCTCTTTGTGGCTTTGATTTGCCTTTCCCTAAAGAGTGATATGAAGCATCTTTTCAGTGCAAAATGATTTTAACTACTCATATTCTTCCTTATACTGAGAAGATGAAAATTTCTGTCTGACACAATAATATTGAGAGAAATTCTAGGAAACTTCAGTAAGGCAATGTTATTAAACACTACTCGAGGGCGTCTGGGTGGCTCAATGGGTTAAGCCTCTGCCTTCGGCTCAGGTCATGGTCTCAGGGTCCTGGGATTGAGCCCCCCATTGGTCTCTGCTCAGCAGGGAGCCTGCTTCCCCCCTCCCCCACCCCACCTACTTGTGATCTCTCTCTGTGTCAAATAAATAAATAAAATCTTTAAAAAAAAAACTACTCAAAGTTCAAGATACTAAAATGACAGTATTCTAAAGTTTCCCAGTTAGTCAAGAACATGACGTAAAAAAAAAAAAGAAACTCTAATATTGGTTAATCTTTCATCCTTTGTTTTAACTCTTAGATTAAATTTTCTTATCTCAAAAGTCCTTTTGAACAGTTGTAAACCTCTATTTTTCAAAGGTTTTATTACAAGTTACCAAAAAAATGCATATCCTCCCTCTCTCATGAGATGGAAACAAGAGATAAATATGTCCTAAGGAGAAAAATTATTTTATCCAGAAGCCCCAGTAAATTATCTCTCTTATCAGAGTCTCTACAGTTTCTGTAATGTTATGCTTAGCTTTACGCATTCGGTACCAACTCTGTGTTAGGTCCTCGCCACCCAAAGGTAAAATGGTACAGTTTCTGATCTTACAGTCTAGTAGTAAGAAGAGACAAGAAAGTCAGCAAGTTGACACAGAATGACCCATGTTGGCATTGAGAGCAATTTGCCGCAGGTCTTATGGGAATTTAAAGGGAATGCATCAGGTAAAGCCCAGAACTGTGATGAGAAGGGCTGTCAGAGATAGGGTGGAAGAGTGAAGTGGATAGAAGGGCTCCTTAGAAGTATTTTAAGATATCAAAGATGTGATGGCAGTTTTCTTGCAAATATTTTCAAGTTGATTTTTGGCTTCTCGTGTCTTTCTAATTGACAATTTTGATCCATCTGTGTATATACTTAAATAAATCACTTGAATGGATAAAAAATCATAAATACCTTACTGGGTTATCACTTGACTCTTACACAAGTCAGAACAAATAGTGGTGTTTCAACCGCCTCGTTTTACAACCATGATCTTACAAGGTCATTTCCTATATAATTTATTTTGCACTAAATCTGTATTTCATTTTGACACCGAAGGAGGAAAATGTATAGTTCATAAAGTAGTTTTATGTCATGTTAACTGTTTTAAGATGCTCTTTTATTTATTTTTACCTTGCTGCCAAGGCACTGATTTCCTTGGGATCTTATATTCTCATATTTATGTGATTCAGAAACATCCATTAAAAGTCTTGATCTAGAGAGGGAGAAGTCTCCTTGATATTTGAGTTTATGGCTTCATTGTTTCAAAGTAGCAACGAAGGTGAAAGTGCTCCTTCAGGGATTTGTTCTTGAGTGAAGAAAGCCCCTGGGTCAGATGTGTTCTTCAGGTTCTGATGGCTGTGAGTGGTATTAATGTCAAATAATTTCAGATTTGACATTGTATAATGAGACCATGGAGCACAATTCTCTTTCTACATCTGAACACACCAAGATGCACGGAATTCAAGTAAAGTGACCAAGGAAATACAGTTAAGTGTAACAAATTACAGCAGGACCAGACACACAGAGAAGTCTTCCACTTAGCCTAAGTGGATTAGTTCCAAGAATTGATAGAGGAAGTATTGTGCCCTCTCTGGGTCACTCATTGAAAGATGATTTAAAAAATAAATAAATAAACTCTTAAGCACTTGCATGATTCTATTTTCATTTCTGGCATATGGAGCGTGCTTGCCCACTATACTAAGCAGATGAAATAGGTCACTCGTCTAGAATTTCCTTTGAACTGAAAGGCTTCAGTAAATTGAAATTTATGCAATGAGATAGAAGGAAGTGCCTACAGAGACAAAAACTGGGGACAGAACTAACAAAAATAAAACGAGTCACTTCATTTGGAGTCGTGCTTGGGGAGCTCCACTTCTCTCTCCTGTCCTCGTACCTCTGTTTATAAAGGCAGCTCTGGTCCCTTCCTTTCGTGGCTGGTGGCTGATGTTAGTCTTTCTCGCAGCCCACGGAGGTCTTAGGGAAACAGGAGGACAGCCAGTTCCTTGGATCCTTCCGTTCTGCTCCTTCACTCAGGTTGCGTGGCCGACCACTGGAGGGGTCCCTTCCACCGCCATACTTCTTTATTTCTGTGGACAGGTTTGTCAGATATTTTGTAAAACGTTCTTTTTTGGTTGGTGTCACGAGCGTTTGAATTCCCAGAGGCAGTTTTGATTTTCCACAAAGGCACTGCGTTATGAGAATCTGGGTTCAACAACCACATACATTCATTGAAATTTCCTTAAATGGCTGTGGACTTTCTTGTTTTAACTAATAAAAGGAGTGAACATCCGCTGAGTGTTGACATGGTGTGGGGTGGGGTGAATTCTCTCATTTAATCCTGGCCATACCTCTACAACATAGATACTGTTGTTAACCCCAGAAGTTGTCACAATGTGATAGTAGCAGGTGTGGAGCCGACGTTAAACCAAGGACTTGTTAGGTCTCATGTCTATAGACTGTGCTCTATGCATGTCCCCCAGCACTGAGCACAGTACTTTCCACGTAGTAAAGTTTTCACTAAAACAGTCTAATTGAATGGAACTGAATCCATGTACCGACAGCCTGTATTCAATGCTCATGTTGCAGTCAGAGATTTAGAAATAATCGGTTCTGCAGTGGGAGAATCAGTATAACCCTAAGAGGTTAATTTGCTAATTATTTCTTGCTATGGAAGATATCATCTGATCATCAATTTTATGCATTTCACATGCTACACAAATATTTCCAACTTTCTTAAATTATTAACCTTGACCTTTGTGATATTCAGGAAACATTAAAACAGAAAAGGCGATAAAATTATCAATAACCTTTCTACATAATATGGTGAACAGAGTGAAATATGAGTTATTTTTATTTGGAAAAACAATATTACTCTGTTTTGACTCAAGGGTGTTAACATTTTTAATGTTAACATTAATTTGTTTTCTTTTGATCTTACAATTATTACACTTATTTTCCTTAGTGAAATGGAAAAACATCCCAATTGCCAAATGCTAATGATGTGTTCGTAGAGTCTTAAAATGTACATCTCATTACGTTTCTGTTTTTCAGCTGGTAAAAAATGTTTATGAAGTCAGTATTTGTTTCTCTCAGGGAATTTTGCTTGGTATTTTAAAGATACGTCTACCATTTCCCTTAGGTCACTTGTGCCAATATCTGTCCTTCATTATCATAGCAACAAAAGTCTTCACTTTGTAGTCTTACGCAGTTCAGATGGATCTAGTCTGTCCTTCCAAAAACATTAACAGAATACCTGCTGTATGTTTTTTCAAAAAATATTTTTTGTTCTTCATTCTTGAAAGATTATGTTTCTCCAAAGAAAGTCTATGACTTAATAAGAGATTTGTTTTATGCTTTTTAAAAATTTCAACTTGGACTTTGATGTTAAGCATCCTCAAGAGGTACTCTTGCAATTGTTTTAATAGTTAAGCAAATAAAAACAGCTGTTTATGATATCAATAATTGTGTTTCTAAGAAAGTATAAACCTGACCTTTATTCCCCTTTTGTAATAGTGCCCCTGACCTTTATTCCCCTTTTGTAATAGTGCCCCATCTTATCTGTTCACAAAACCTTACATTAAAATGATGGGAGAACATTGAAATTCTCTTACATTAAAATGATGGGAGAACATTGAAAGGCTCTTCATTAGTTGGCTAGATCTCCCACAGCAAAATGCTGTGAAGGAGTAACTTTCATCCATTTATTTTTGATCTGATACATTCAAGAAGGTGATAATACCAAAACCTTAGATCTGAATTTCATACCTTACGGTGTCTTTCAAATACATTTTCTTCTCATTTGGGTTTACAGCCCTCTTGGTGGTGGTATTCACCCGTTTTAAAGAGAAGGACACAAAAATTCAAAGTGAGTTGCCAGTCTGAGTTCATCTAGTAGAGTCACATTAAACCTGGAAGTTCTGATCATAAGCTCCTGTAAATAGTTCCACTTCACTTTCTATGATTAGATGCCATGAAATTAGAAAAAGGGGAAGGGGAGTAAAAATCTCTTTTTTAAAATAACTCTTAAAGCAATTTAAATTACAAGCTGTAGTGTCACCCTATATCCAGTTAAAAGGCTTATATTTTTAAATGTATATAGTATATACACGTTATGTATAACGTATACAACATTCATGATACAATATATTTTAGTACCTTATATAGTCTTTCAGTATATTATATAGAAGATATATATGTGTGTGTGTCTATATACACATACTATTTAGAGATTATCAAAATGTCTTGTTTAAGGAGTGTTTCAAAGACACATAACCCAAAAGAATCTTTCAAACCGGTCACCTTGGAAATGATAGACTGAGATTATTGTTTCAATATTGAATCCTTTACTTTGTTTACAGCTGCAAACATTTTTTGAGACATTCCTGACAGCCAGTTCACCTCTTCAGGCTTTTGATAATATGAAGGAAGCAATTAGCAAACTCCTCCTAGCAACTGAAGTATTCAGCGAAACATCTACTCTGGGACCAAAGGCCTTCAATAGGTAAAAGCCAATGCTAATATTAAAAAAAAAAAAAAAATTCTAAAAATTGTTTGTGAAAATATATCTTAATTATCACAAGTAGGTGCTACTTGGAAAATGTTATGTCAGCATATAAATATGAACTCATAAACATCTTTTCATATTTATAGATTCTAAAACTTCAGAGCATGTCACAGACTTGTTAGCATTCAAATAATAGTGACAAGAAATAAAGCACACATTGTTTAAATTAATTTTAATTGCATCTCCTTTTTAAACTTAGCTATTTTTAGCATATGATCTTTGCATTGACTAGGTATAATTTTACTTATGAACTTTATTAACAATATCCAATAGCTATTGTCTCTGTATTTCAGTTTACTTGAATATAATTTCATGCCTTTTTTGTAGGCAATGTTAAATTTAGAATGTCAACAAGAAGGAGATGACTCAAGTAAGCTTTATCATGCTTATATGTGAATAAGAATGCCTAGCAGTTAGGAGAAGGAGAGTTTCCTTCTCCGTATTTAGGTTTTCATGAAGTAACTTCATTGTTTAATGTGTTGTGAATACTCTAGATATATTTGTATTTCCTATAAGGAACAAAACAAATTCGAATTTAAAAATAAATTGCATGTAATTTCCAAGCCACTGTTCCTTTTACTTAGTACAAATCTTGACATTTAACTTTAGTAACTGTTAATAATGTATCAAATAATACAGTAAATGTAGCAAATAGAATATATTTTTATATCACCGTTTGTTTTATTCCAGATGCAGATTATGTTTTCAACTTTTCACCTTTGACATTGGTTACTACAGTTTCCCAGACCCTGTAGTGCTCCAGGTAAGTATCCCAAAAGCTTCTTATGAACCTTACACTGAATGATCTATTGTGTGTGTGTGTGTTGGGGGAGCGGAGTATATGTGTATGTGGGTGGGTTGTTTGCTTTTATAGTAACCAGCCAATAAATAGCAACTAGTATTAAAGTCATTACAGGCTTATATTTTACTGTAATTCAGAAAATTAACCAATATGTGGAGAATCTATGATTTATTATTTGAGTTCCAATCCCCATTATACATCACTATAGAAAGGGTATGGATTTTCTACAGTTCAATCACCCCGTTTACAAAATAAAGTGGCAAACATGTAGATAATAGAAAATAGAAGATTATCCAGTTTATTCACATGGATTTGTAGAAAAAATTAACTCTTACTCTGTACATATAGATAGTTTTAAGTTGGCCTATATTTTAATTTAAAAAGCCACAGGCATTTTTAAAATATATGTTTTTTTCTAGTATAATTATGTGTAAATTAAAGAGTGCTTTTGTATACTCTGATTCTTTTACTTCCTTTCAAATCAACTCATCCTTTCAATGAACTCATTCAGATCATCCCCTCCCAACTTATCTTTCATCTAAAATATCCTTTAGTGGCAAGAAGATTAAAAAAACAGTTGATTGCATAAATCTACAGAAACCTTTATTTGGAGCTATGGAGTAGGAAGAAGGGAAAGGAACAAACGAATAATGTGCAACCAGAATTCCGCTTCATATTGCATTGACCGCTTTTCAAACTGTTGTACAAGGTGAATGATTGCATTATGTGTGGCTCGGACATTTAGTTGAATAGCTCAAAGGTCTACCCATAAAATTTTGAAACTTCATGAATCTACATTTTTAATCATTTATTCATTATCTTGCACACATCTTAGTTTGTATTATGCTCTTTGAAATTTGTAGTGGCCAAGGTCAAAGAGGTCGCTGCCTGTGTTCTCTAGGATTTTGATGGATTCCTGTCTCACATTTAGGTCTTGAATTTATTTTTGTGTATGGTGTAAGAAAGTGGTCCAATTTCATTTTTCTGCATGTTAATGTCCAGTTGTCCCAGCACCATATATGTTAACTAACTTGAATATAGAGACAATCTAAAAATAGTAAAAAATAAATAAATAAATAAAAATAAATAAAAATTATTGTTCAGAAATGTCATATATTATCTTTCCTGAATACAAATTCTTCAACAGTAAAGAGTTACAAGATAAACTATTGTAACTTTATAATCCATTACTTTTCATATAAAAAACCACCTTCGAAAGAGCATTCTTTGTATTTTATAAAGCTGTTGACCTCCAAAAAGGCCACTAGATGTCAGTTCTGATCTACAATCCAACAGGAATGACTCCTGTCTTAGAAGTGATTTCACTGCATTAAAAAGTCAATGAAAAATATTTGCTGTGGTTTTACTCTTTCACAGGTGCATGAGCATTTAAATTTTCAAGATGATGATAATACGGATTTTGAGGACCAAAACACAGAAGAATTCCTTTTACAAGATACTTTCAATTTTCTCTTCTCTAATGAATCTTCACTTCCAATGTTTTCTGAGATACTTCAGGGACTTTATAGATCAGGTGTTTTTAAGGTAAGTGCTTATTTTTTCAGTGACAAGTTTTTTTTTTCCAAGTCATTCTTGGAAAGGTGCCATTTTCTTTACTGTGTAGCTAAACAAATGGATAATGGATTTGAAATGAATTGGTATCTGTTATATTCCTCCTCTTTATAGTTTTCTGCCCTGAAGACCAAGATTATTTTATGTCTACTAAGTATGAGTAACTGATTATGATGCAGTTATGGGTTAAGATAAAGAAATTCCTAACTCCTAAGGAATGTTTGTGGATATTATGAATAATACATATTAGATGTTATTTAGAATACTTTACAAGGAATAGTAGAATTTTTTGAAGGCAATCTAGAAGAACAGTGAGTGTTCTAGACTGACCTCAAGGGACTGGAGTTAGAATATTAATTTTTAAAGAATTCACATCTGGTTAATATCTTTGTTTAGCTGCGGATGATTAGGATGTAGTCCTTCATAGGAGCATTGGTTAATTTTTATGGCACGTTAATACAAGTTTTCTTAATGCATCAAAAATCTGTACAGATCATTAAGTACAGTATTATTCTCTATATATCTTTCTGTTTTAAAACCTGTATTTGGAGAATTTGGGAGAGAAGGTTATGAAAGTTCTTACAAACACACATTGATGCTCCATGGAGAGTTTTTGGGAGAGACAGAACATGGCTTTACAGACTGCTGTTTCTCCTGGATTTTATTCATTTTTTCCTCTAGTTCCCTGTTTTCCTTCATTAGTGAGTGGACTGTCATTAAAACTGTTAGAAACACTTGACCCAGAAGTAATGGTAAATATGTGCAACTTCTCTCAGGGATGCCTCAGAAAAAAATGAATGTGAGGAAAAATGGGGTAGGGGGACCATTTATTAGAATCCACGAACTCCAAAATTGTAATGTCCCACAGATGAGAGTCCCGTGTTCACCTGTTGCTCTGATCTCTGGCACCCTAAAGCCTGAAGGAGATGCTCCCTACATTCCCAAATTGTCACACACAGTCTACCCTCCTGGACTCATCTCCCCACCCTCACTTACCAATACACAATTGAGCAGTTTCATTCAGGTCCTCTTTGTCACGTATGGAAATTTTCTTAGAGTCAGACACTGTTGTGACAAGCTGAAGTCACTAGGCATGATTTGGCATTAATTAGCTCAGCTGTTTTTTATAGAGTTCAAACTTCAATTGGTTTATAAAGGGGGGGCGGGCAACTGGGCTAAACATGGTTTGACTTTGTAACAATTGCTTAAGAATTGTTCCTCTCCCTCCATTCTAGAGTGAAAACTATCAGAAGGAACAAAACCAATGCCTGTCTTTAGAGGAGATGAACTCAATTATGACTTTCATAAAGGAACTTGGGAACTTGGGGCAATTCCAACTGGTAAAACAAAAGTGACATTTGATTCCTCATGATTACTGAGCTTATAGATCAGCCTTGTTTTTTTTTTTTTTTCAAACTGGGTGAAGATTTTTCTTTAAGAAATAGAAAGCTTTGTAAGCTTCCTTCTTCTTTTCAGACATCTAAATATTAAAATGAGTAGAACCTATATTCTTTAAGAGTTTGCAAATAATACAACACTTATTCAAGGTAAAAGGATATGAGATCAGTGTAGCTGCTAGTATATGACAGTTCTGAAGGGGAAAATGTCTATTTTTTTCTGGAGAAGTTTTGCTTTTAGCTTTGGGACACGTACATGTAACAGAAATTTCTTTCTGCTCATCATGTTCTTTTTATTTGGGTCAAATCAAATATTACTGAATGTAACCACATTTTAGAAAACAACCTAAATCTTAATTTGTTGCAACTCTATAGTAAACTTCAAAAAAGAAAATGTAAATAATTATGATAGCTACTACTGGGTTTTAGCCTAAAAAAATAACTGACATTTGTTTTCCTTTCTGTGTATTTTCCTGGGTTCTGTTAATTTATTGGTCAATATCAAAGGTCATTATCAATATAATTGATTACATGTGTGTGTGCATGTTCAGTATTTGCTTTGTTCCTAGTTTTGCCACTTATCTAGATGGACTATAATGGATTTCTATTTTTCCACCTAAGATTTGCTTATACAAAAAATCTTGTTAAAACAACATTTTTCAAAGTCCACTGATAATTTATTATTAATCTGTTTGGATCAGTTATTTTTTTACTAGAAAAAATAGCATGTATTCACATGGTACTTGTCTAAGTTATAACCAATTTACTAAGTTAATGAATGATGGTTCGGCCCATGTCTTTATAATTTAATCTCATATTGTAGAGGGCTCAAAGTAAGCTTTTGCCCCAAAGATAATAATTTAATTGATGGATTATTTTAATTAATTTAAATATAGTAAGTATTACATTTGTGACAGTTGGCTCAAAACTCAACAAAGATAAAGAGAGAGGTCTCATTCTTCGGGAATTCATAATTTGAGATATTGAATGTAGAGAACATCTCTTGGTACAATGTGAAAACTGAAGAATTATTTTACAGGAAAAAGGTCAAACTCCAATTTCCTGACTCTCAGAGTAGAAAGAGGATAACCATAGATCTTCTTTTCCATGGGATTAATATCTCTTACCCTGACAAAGTTCACTTGCAACCCCAAATGATTTCCCTTCATTTTTCCTAATGCTAGAGTCACTCTTTCATTCAGCTGTTCTCAGCTATCTATAGGAAAGAGATACCCATTTTCACTCAAAGAGAAGAGAAAGAACACTTACTGCATTTGGAAATATGATCAACAGAATTAGTTCTTTATAAAAAGTGGCATTTACCTTGACAACTGCACAGAAAAATTATATTATGATACTGACCAGTGAATTTTAAATAAATATCTGACTTTTTAAAATAGCTGAATAAGATAGAGAGCCTTCTCTATTTCTTTTAAATTATTTTCTATTACTTATTCTGATATTCTCATTTTGAATATTTCTTCTCAGCTCTTCCCATCTACTACTCCTGGGATTCGATCTTTGATGCGTGAATTTTATGATATGGCAAAACCTGTAGGACAACCTGGTTCAGTCCTGACTCAGTCCTGGTCTCTTTTAAATGTATTTGAACAGTTTCAGCTCCTGAATAAAAAGGCACAGCTACATCCACTGGAATGGTAAGATAGCCACAAATTTGAATTGTGCAATCCAAAAATTCTCTAAAGATTGATTTCAAAAGATTTTGCCTACATTAAAGAAAGCAACAAAAAGAAACATGTCCAAATATTTGTGCTCTGGAAAATAATCTTCTTTAAAGCATTGAAACCATAACAATTCTAGTGGTCTTCAAACACTGTAATAAAAACACATCCAACAGTTTTTCAAACCAACAGGATTTGACTCTACTACAGAGTAATGTTTAAAATGAAAAAGTTTCAATCTCATTTCATTCTGTGATATATATCATTGAATTTTGAGACCATCAGAAAGAATTAGGTGACTTTTTTTTTTTTTTTTTTTTTTTTAATGAACCATCAGTCAGTGTAGAGCCCAAGATGGTATGAGCACATATTTGAATTTTTGAGGTGTGACTTTGTTCTGGGCAAAATCTAGACAAATTCACAAATATGTCTGTCCCTGCCACAAGAATAGAACTTTTCTTTTTCAGAAGGTTTAGAATCTCAGAGGGAAACAAACATTTGTCCTCCCATTTCCACTTCCTTTCTAATGAGAGGTGACAATGAGGGGTTGGGAGAGGGGACAGGCCAGGTGAATATATTCACATCTCCTGTAGTTGTCAAAAAGGGACAGTGCCCAAGGACCTGGCTAAGTCTGCTTCTCTTTTATATGATGGAATTCAGGGACTATTTGACTTTTCTACTGCCAGGAAAAGAGAAGCAAACCTAAACCTCCTAGGGAGATGAAAGACGAAAGGGCCATGCCATAATCACTTGTGTCTCCTGCAGGCCCTCTCAGGCAAGAATGGCTTCAGCTCTCCTGACTTGTGCTTCATTTCTCTCTGCCTCAGGAGGTCATGAAAGCATTTCCATAAGAATTTTTTTATAATTCAAAAATACAAATAATCGTGTATTTGAAGAATTCTTAGGACATTTCCCAGGATTAGAACTCACTTGAATTGCCACGACTTTATGAAGTTGGCCTTATTCCCTCAATGCTCAGAAGTAGTAAGCCTGACAGAAGCCTTTACTTGTTTGAAAAGTATGTTTTAAATAACAGAGCTCAGTGCCCATTGGTTTGTTCTTTGCCCTCACTCAAGTCAGTCAAGTCTGTCTCACTCATCATTATCAATGGGGAAGAGCAGACTTGATTTACCAAGCAGCCAATTTAGGTACTGTTTTTAATTTTGATTAAATTCCCTTGAGATATACAAGTTTTGGGAAATTTGTTCCCCAGCAAGTTTTTCTCAAGTTCCACCTATGGTATAAGGTTAAAGAAGGGACTTACCTTAAATTCAGAATACTGCATTTAATGCAAACCCTAAGCCTAACTGTAATGATTCCCATTAAATAAGGGAATTTATTAGTGGTCAGTGTTGGAAGTGGTCAGTGTAGAAAGGGCCAAAACTTTTTTGAATCAGATAAACCTGGATTCAAATACTCCAACCCTAGAGTTTATTAATTATAGCAGCTAAAGTTTTGATACCTCTGAGACTTAATCTCCACATCTGTAAAAAAAGGATTATACTACCTACCACTTGTTACTCTGTAAGAATTACATAAGATAATTTCCATGTGCCATATGGGGTGTCTGGTATGTTGCAGTCAAAGTAGGTAATAAATATTAATATGGACTTTTCATGTTTCTCTACCATCCAAAGGTCACTTTAGGATCTACAGTGGAGGGAAACATTTTTCTTTCCTTCATAGGAAAAGCAAGACAGGTTTGAAAGATTTACCTAAGTTAACCTTGAGAACATTAAATTTTAGATCTTTATCAAAAAGCAATTAGGTAAATCACTCTGAGAACATTTCCAGAAAGAATAATTCTAATTATCTTCAAATTTACCTGGGAGCATATGTATATTTAATTATCACCCATGCTGTGTTACAAGGAGGATGCGTATTAGACACGTTTTCTAGATGAGGAAACCATGCTGAGAAGGTAGGTCATTTGCTCAAGTCACAAAGCCCAGAGAAAAAGAGGAGAGATTAGGACCCTGGCCTCACGTCCGTGGCCCAGTGCTTGATTCCAGTATATCCTGCACATGGACAGGTCAGGTGTAGTCATTCATCATTGTCCTTATTTTCACAATGGTCACCTTCAGCTTTTCTACAGAAAAAGCCAATTTTACATATCTCTGCTACCTCTGGGGAATAATGATTTCATGCTTCCTTTTATGTTTTAAAAATTAGTTATTTATTTAAGTAATCTCTACACCCAATGTGAGGCCTGAAATCATGACCCTGAGATCAAGAGTCATATGCTCCCCAGACCGAGCTAACCAGGAGCTCCCATTCTTCCTTCTAAATAAAGATCCTTTGCTTAGAGCAACAAAGTGAGAAAAGATAAAGTCAGAAAAGCAAAGGCTAAAAAAAGTGACCATTATGCATGTCTGTGCCCTGAGGCTTACAATCCAGAGGCCCCAACAGAATCAGTGTAAATCTGAACAGAATGAAAATATTAAAATCAATATTTGTGCATCATCTGCTAATTTTCACTTTACTTGCAATAGACTTGCAAGTGTACTTTGCTCTCCTCATAGGCTTTCCATGAAAAAGCCACATTTTAAAAAATAAATAATTTATTCACAAAATCCCATAAGGAATCGCTGCAGGATTCTTTACCATACAAAACATCTCATTCCACTAAGAAAGTAACTCAGTGTATGTGCATTTCAGGATTGTATCTTTTAGAAGCTTCACTTAGAGTTTTTGCTTCACATGAATTCAGAGATTTTTTTTTTAAATTTATCCTGGCACCCAGTCAACCTTCAACTAAACATATCTCGCCCCATGCTTGCTTTATCTGTTTCTTCATTCCTTGGGAGAAGGGAAATATTTTAAAGTTAGTCCTAGACATTTTTCTCTCTCACCCCTAAATACTTCATGGTATGCATCAAAGAAAGAAAAGAGACTTACTTTACAAGTAAAACTGCAATAAAATTATCACACCTTCCCACATTAGCAATATTTTTAATTCCTTGATTCTTCGTAATTTGCTGATGTTTCTATTTTGAAGGAACTGACTATGGCTATTCATCTCCTCTCCACCACGGTGCCCCACACAGTATCTGGGACAATAAATATTTATAAAATGTAACTTAACACAGAGCATCTGATTTCATGCTCATAGCGTTGCTGTGAAATCAGGCCAGTGATCTGTTCTCCATTCTGCTGCAGTGGAAATGCAGAAAGAATCAGAGCACAGCCCAGCAAAGCCCAATCACATCCTGCTCTGTATTCCCTGTCCTCAGGACCAGCAAGTGTTCAGTCCATGGTTTAGATTATTTGGTCTCTATTTGAAGAGTCAAAGAGCAATCTGGCCAAGCACTTAGTTGCATAACAGAAAGGAGGCAAACACACCGAGAGGAACTAACCCTTACCGTGCAGTACAGTTAGCCCGCGTCTGAGGACAGAAGATGTGACAGGATCGTAGGTCGTTTTCTGCGTAGCACCCGTACATACACGCACCCCTAGGTTGTGTGTATGTTCTTCTGAGTCTGTGCCTCAGACTTTCCAGGCCTCCTTGCTTCAAGACTGCATGCTTTTAGCCAAACAATTTCCAAAAACGAGTGTGTGTTCCCAACTCACTTCTGTTGGACCCAGGCTATCAGAGATTGCTCGCTTTTGGCCTGAAGAGTGACTTTTTGCCCTGGTTTTCTTCAAATGTGCTTCTGCTGATTAGAGATGATGAGATTTCCACCCACCTCACTTGAGGCCAGATTGCCGGTCTTGAGGAATGAAATCCAGAAAGTGTTTCTTTGTGTTCATCAAAATATCTTGTGCCCACACAGGGGAAAAAAAAAAGTGCTTTAGATGTGATTTCCATGACTTTTGTTCATTTCATTGATCCAGACTGGCTTGGCCTTGCGTTTGCAGGAATTCTTTCACAGAGGATGAGAACATTGAAAAACCACAAGTGCCATCTGATGCAACTGGAAATAAAAAAGGTAAAAAGATACAGTCTCACTTCTTCCAACATGAAAATAAGTATTGTGTGGCCCCCAAAATATATAAGAAAAATGTTTCACTTCCTTAGCAATCAAAAATGGAAGTTAAACTAGGGAATGATATTTTCCCTCAAATTTGAAAAGCTTTTTCCTCTTAAAGATCATAGAGGGGTGCCTGGGTGGCTCAGTGGGTTAAGCCTCTGCCTTCGGCTCAGGTCATGATCTCAAGATCCTGGGAACAAGTCCTGCATCAGGCTCTCTGCTCAGTGGGGAGCCTGCTCCCCCCCCCCCCCCCACACCCCCCCCCACCCCACCTGCCTCTCTGCCTACTTGTGATCTCTCTCCCTGTCAAAAATAAATAAAATCTTTACAAAGAAGGAAAAAAAAAGATCGTAGAGTTGGGGGAGGGAGGTGCCTGGGTGGCTCAGTGGTTTAAAGCCTCTGCCTTCGGCTCAGGTCATGATCCCAGGGTCCTGGGATGGAGCCCCGCATCGGGCTCTCTGCTTGGCAGGGAGCCTGCTTCCCTCTCTCTCTCTGCTTGCCTCTCTGCCTACTTGTGATCTCTCTCTCTGTCAAATAAATAAATAAAATCTTAAAATATATATATCATGGAGTTGGGGATTGTGTAGAGAAATAAGTATTCTCAATCCACTGGTGCTGGTATAAATTAGAGCAACCTCCCTTAAAGGGCCATGTAATGACATATAAGAAAATCCTTAAAAGTTATTCTTATAGGGGCACCTGGGTGTAGATGGGTAAGCACCCAACTCATGGCTTCCCCTCAGGTCATGATCTCAGGGTCTTGGGATCAAGCCCCCTGTCAGTCTCTGCACTCAGCTCACAGTCTGCTTGAGATTCTCTCTCCCTCTCCCCTTCTTGCTCGTGATGTCTTTCTCTCTCTCTCAAATAAATACATAAATCTTTTTTAAAAAGTTACTTTTACATCAGAGAAATCTCACTCCTAGATATTCATTTTAAGGAAATAATTAATGTACACAAAAGTTTAGTTACATAACTTATTAAAAATAAATTTAAAAATTTGAACTACTTCTATTGTAATAATAGTGAATTAGATAAGAAAAGCCATAGACTTCCCATATAATACTGTAAAGCCATTCTAATATTGCAGAAGCGTATTTATGACATGAAAGATGTTTGTGGTTTGTTGTTAAATGAAACAATTGACTACAGGCAACATGGGCCTCGAGGAACATTAATGGCAGTTGTGATTTTTTTTCCCTAGACTTAATCTTTGTTTTCTCTAATTCTCTCCTTTCTAAAGAACATCTGAGCTTTTGATCATACAGAAAGAAAATGTTTCTAATTTTAAGAATAAAAGATGAAAACAAATACCACTTGTCTATAACTTTTTAGAAATCAAAATTTCCCTATTACAAATCAAGGTTTGATACAATACAGTGGTTCTCAGCATGTGGTCCCTAAACCAGAAACACCACATCACCTGGGAAATTTGGACCATTCCGATCTACTGAGTCAGAATCACACCTCTCTGGGTATGAGACCCAGCACTCTGTCTTGTAAGAAGTCCTTTAGATGATTCTGAGGCATGTTAAAGTTTGAGATCCACTAATTCAATAGAAGGAATTGGTAAGCCCAGTGAAGATTTGGTGATAAACTGCTATTCTGAAGACTTTCTCACTCCCACCATTATTCTCTTTAAATGAGTGATTTAAGCACTCTGAGTGTTTTTATTCATTCCTTTGTTCCATCAGTATGTAGTAAGGTGGTTTTTAGATACATGTTTGGTTTAATTCAGAAATTTAAGAAGTGCCAGTGGAATCAATTGGATAAAATTTCTGTAATTCTAGTGATTTGGGATATTATAGTCATAAAATCAAGATACCTTCTAGAAGGAATCTTAACAGATCACCCTAAGGCAATGGATGACATTTAAGCCATTCACTTTTCTCCCTTAAAATTTTCCCTTTTGAAATAACCATTCTCCTGAGATTTGAACCAAATAACTTCTTTTGTTTTACTGTAGCTTTCAGTTTAAGTGCTTTCTGATATAAGAAAAGTTAAATCATAAAATGGTTCTACTAAATTATGCTGTTTGAGATTACTGAATATATATTCTTTTTGTTTTGATTAACCATTTCCATTTTAAATTAACTTTTCTTTTTTTAGCTGTTGTTCCACGAATTATGAATGATACCAAAGAAGTTCGCTGCAGTAACGGTAAGTTCCAATGAAAGTGTTTCGGTGGCATAATCGAGAGTGAGGCACAGCCGTGGTTTCAATAAATCACCATTTTATCATATTTGGGTACTTTTATTTTTTTCTTTTCTTTCTTTTTTTTTTTTTTTAAGAATTTATTTACTTATTTATTTGACAGAGAGAGACACAGCAAGAGAGGGAACACATGCAGGGGGAGTGGGAGAAGCAGGCTTCCTGCTGAGCAGGGAGCTTGATGCGGGGCTGGATCCCAGGACCCTGGGATCAGGACCTGAGCTGAAGGCAGACGCTTAACTATGAGCCACCCTGGCTCCTGATATTTGGGTACTTTTAGACTGTAATGTATTTTAAGTAAATTTTTAGAAGTTTCTGAATGAGTTGCTATCTGTCACTTTTGCTTAAGAACATTTCTAGTGTTCTATTTTTGAACGTGAAATACTATGTTGTTTACATATTTGTTTTTTGCTTGTTTAAGGCCAGTGACTTTCAAACTCATTTTGAGGGGTCTTCAGGGTGCTAAGGCTTTGCCTTGGAGACTACTCAAGTGGATAAACTTGGCTTTTCTGTTCTAGACATCGATTTTTAGGGCTTACACCAACCCACGGGGATTCCTTTTCCACCATACTGTTGACATAATGGATAGTACTGGGGTTGAAATTTTTTATCAATTGAGAGTTTTTAATCTGAATTTTGGTTTGTTTCCTTAAAATTCATGAATTTTTTTTACTAAGGTATAATCAAGAAAAATGGTATGTATATAATAATAATACATTTCAAGTATGTAGATTTTAGGATTTAAAAATAATTTTCTTTATATATTCCCTGGTCAGTATTATCCCAGTGTGGCCTTGTAAATATATAATTCTAGAGAATCTAACTGACCTTTCGAAGGTCACAGGGCTATTAAATCTCTGAGTTGGATCACTAAGCTGGATCTTCCAATTCTTTGTCTAAGGCTCATGAATTATCTTAATACTTTATAACAATATGATGGAAAAATAAGAGTCGTACTTAGTAGGTTTGCTTTTTGGCCACGTGTACATATATACATATATATATACAGTGCTAAAACATACACTGAGAAAATTAAGTCTTTTATAAAAAATCCATTCCAGTAAAACATAAAAGCTGGAAAAAATAAGATTTATGGACTAAGGTTTAATTTATTATAAATAAGAGTCTTCCAGTTTAATAAAACCTAATTTGTATCTTCTGAAAGGCAATTTAATTCATTCATTACATTTTAACAGTATCATTAAAATCAGGGCAGACTGAGAGGTTATACAATAATGTGGTTTAATAGAATCAACAAGTACATCCAATTAAAGAAAAATAGCATTTTACATAAAGTATTGCTGATCAGGAAAAATAACAGGTCTGACTTATGCCTTTCCTTGCCTGAACTTTCCATCCAGTCTCTTCCTCCTAGAAAAATACATGCACCTCTTGGGAGACCAGTGCCTAGGCTGTAGTGGGGCAAGGACAAGGCAGTAAACCTGGAGCAAGTTGAGGGTGCACATTTGTCAAGTCACTTCACCTCCTTGGTCTTCTCTTCTATGATGTATAAAATGAAACAACTCTCTGGGGATAATCTCACTTTTTTTTGCAGTTCCCAGGTAACCTGCAGTAGAGGCGGTGAACATGTTAGATAAGCTCTTCAGCTTAGTTCATATTTTTATCTTGATAAAAATCTAGTCCTACCTGGGTCTGTATAATTAATCTGCCTACTTTCATGGCATGATCTAAGATCTAAGAAATAACTTGATGATGCCTCAGAACAGGTGGGATTATCCTTCAGAGTCTAGGCTTTTCTTGAGTTTAAAAGGAGTTATGATTGTCCCTCAAGAGGGCAATAAAACTCTGTGGTTAAACGAATCCATTAAGAGCGACCAAAACTTCAAACGGCTTTCCCAAATACACTTGCCAAGTAGGTTAAGCAGCCTGCTACCACCACGGCTCATGCTGTGTTCTCCGTGGACCTGAGGTAAGCTGGCCCGAGGCGAGCCGGCACTGGGCTGGGAAGGAGGCCAAGGACACTCCAGGTGTTTGAAGGCAGCAGCACTGATGATTCAGGTGAAGATGGTATCAAGATAGCTTTTAAGCAGGGCTTTAGGATGCCGCGCTTAAGCCAGAGGTGGAGAGTTTCTGATGAATCCGAAAACAAGCGCTTGCTAGAATCTTGCTTAAGAGAATGATTACACATTTTGTCTCATGTGGGGCTGCGTTTCAGTGTTAAAATGGGCAAGCCCTCTGGAAACTTTCACTATGAAGTAGACTGCAGGGAAATTAACTCTCAGTGACTGTTTTATAAAAATATGTCTTCTTAAGTACATCTTCTGCGGTGAGTATTTTGAAAAAATAAATCTTCTTTATTCAATTAACTGGTTTTGAACATGGAAGTGTAATGCAAGCGTTTATATTCCCTTCCTACTTAGGAAATGGTCCTCTCAAAAGCACATTTTGAATCTCTGGACTCCAGCCTGTTTAAAGTGTTATGTTAGGTTCGCGGTCTCCATTTGAGTCAGATCTCATGACCAACCATAGCCTGTTTTTACTGTGCTTATCTCAGTCCTTGAACATAGAATGTGCAGGAACAAAAATTTTTAATGAATGCATTATTTTTTATTAATGTATAGTGTATTATTTGCTTCAGGGGTACAGGTCTGGGAATCATTATTCTTACACAATTCACAGCACTCACCATACCACATACCCTCCCCAATGTCCATCACCCAGCCATCCCATCCCTCCCATCCCCCATCCCCCAGCAACCCTCAGATTGTTAAATGAATGCACTCTTAATATGAAGTTGAATTCAAACTTAAGTTCAGTGTATCGCTTCTGGCAGTGAACCCTGCATTATCTGTTTTGTTGCCCTGTTGTTAAACATCGTTGAACATTTTATTTAAAGGCAATGGAATGGTACTTTCATTTCACAGATTTCCGTAGAATCCAATTTTGTTCCACAAAATACTTATTAATATTTCTTTGAAAAACATTTGCTAAGCTTCTTTTGAGTATTGTGTTTATTCCAAAGATATAAACAAAATAATTTAGCAGTGGCTGGTATTTATGCCTATACATGCATTTTTCTTTTTCTCATCAAGATACTTTTGTAAAAATTGGGTTAACCATCTAGAAGCACATTTTTAAAATGGCTTAGAAGTAATGGTATGAAGTAATGTGCTGGGTTCTACAGCAGGATTGAGCAGAGCATAACATTTCCTTCTCATACTGTAGGACATTTTCTTGGGTTGGGGTGACTGGGGCGGGGAGAGGGGGGAATCTCAGGATGTCCTGCTGCTGTTTTTGCATTGGAGTGTTTGGTATAATATTGAATTTCACATTCTTCACTCCACCCTACTGCCTGTAAGCTACTATATCAATTCAATGGCAGTTTAATGACTCTCCCTATTAAGAAATTTTCCTCATTCCCTGCTGGTGCCCTTCTGTTCCCACTTCACAGAGTCATCACCCCCATTTACCAGTTGCTTGATAGATGCAATAAATGCCAAGAAAATGTTATCAATCCACTGGCGAGACGTTTTTCCCACCTTCTCACTGCCTTTAAACTTTTAAGAACTGAGCAAAAACTATCATCTGTACAATCCCAACAAAAGCCAACAGCTGTTATATAAGGCAGGTGCTATGAAATTTGACAAATAGAAAATCCGGCTGAAGCCACAAATCAAATATGACCAGAGTGCCAAGTGGGAGATCAGCAGTGATCATGAAGGTTGTTCAAAAGATTAAACAACAACAACCTGAATCATATATGCCTTTTTTTAAAACATTTATCCACTTCTTTGCCATTGTTGTTTTATTTTAACAGATGACACACAATGTTTTATCAAGCAGATCCTCACACATCCACATTTGGAACTAAATCCTGAATTTAACCCGAAGATCAAGGATTACTACTCTGAAGTCCCATTTGATGTGGTCATGGTGACAATTGGAGCAGAGACTTCTAAGTGTCAGTGCAAGGTGTACCTGCATGATCGGGCAGGACCAAGGTACAGGGCTGATGACCAGGGCTGGGCGGAGACATCATAGGGAAGCAGATATTTGAAACAACCTTTGAAGGTTCAGAAAAACTGAAGCATCAGAGCAGTTGGAGAGATTGCCAGGGTGTGAAATCCTTCCACTTTTCAGGTGTTGTGTGGTTTAAAAAAAAAAAAAGAACATATCCGTGCTCTACTAATCTGTTAGCAATCTTCGATTTCAAGTTTTTATTTAAATTCGAGTTAGTTCACATATATGGTAAAATCGGTTTCAGGTGCAGAATTTAGTGACTCATCACTTACATACAATAACACCAAATGCTCATCGCAACAAGTGCATTTCTTAATCCCCATCACCCGTTTAGCCCAACCCATACCCACTCCCCCCATCCCCAGTTTCTTCTCTATAGTTAAGAGTCTCATGGATTACTTCCCTCTCTTTTTTTTCCTTCTCCTATGTTCATTTGTTTTGTTTCTTAAATTTCACATATGAATGAAATCATATGGTATTTGTCTTTCTCTGATTTATTTCTCTTAGCAGAATGTACTCTAGCTCCATCCCCGTTGTTGAAAGGGCAAGATTTCATTCTTTTGACAATTGAGTAATATTCCATTCTATATATACCACATCTTCTTTATCCATTTGTCAGTTGATGGACATTTGGACTCTTTACATATTTTGGCTACTATAAAGTTTGCTATAAAGTTTGGGGTACATGTATCCCTTCAAATCAGCATTTTTGTATTCTTTGGGTAAATACCTACTGTTGCAATTGCTGGATATTAAGATAGTTCTATTTTTAACTTTTTGAGGATCCTCCATACTGTTTTCCACAGTGGCTGCACCAGTTTGTATTCCCACAAGCAGTGTGAGAGGGTTCCCCTTTCTCCACATCCTTGCCAACATCTGTTTTTTCCTATGTTAATTTTAGCCATTCTAACAGGTGTGAGGCAGTATCTCATTGTGGTTTTGATTTGTATTTCCCTGATGATGAATGATATTGAACATTTTTTCATGTGTCTGTTGGTCATCTATATGTCTTCTTTGGAAAAATGTTTGTTCTTGTCTTCTGCCCATTTCTTAACTGGATTACTTAGTTTTTGGATGTTGAGTTTGATAAGTTCTTTACAGATTTTGGATACTCCATTAGCAGTATTTGGATCTAATCTTTGCCACAATGTTGTATCAAGAGGATTTTGTGACTCGGATATTAAAAAGACTCATTAAGGGTAGCTTGCTTCTACCATATCCCAACTCCTCAAGATATTTTTCAGGGGTTGAACAAACATTTTGATGACAATTTATGGACATTCTAACACTAATTTACCTAGTCTCATGGGATTTTTTTTTCTATTGACTCTTTTGAGAATCACCAATTCTTCTGTTTATAATTTGGAACAGAAGACAAAACGTTAGTATATGCCATGTTCATGGCAAGGAAGATACTAATGTTCCTATGCTGTAGGGAAGGAAATGCATTAGGCATCCCTGAGAGCTAAAAGAGTCTAGTAGAAAGAAAAGAGGATTCAAGTCAGACCAACCTGGATACCATCCCTGACTCTACCATGGGACTTTAGGCATAGAGATGGTATATGAAATGAGATAATGTATGACTCTGAGAAGTAGTAAGTATTGGTTTCCTTCCTGTGATTGCTAGAGAACTTGCTCTGTAAGATAATTGTTGGCATACTGAAGTATAAAATTAAGGGTTTTTTTTTTCATATTTTAAGTTTCTTATGATGTTGTATAGACCTTATCTGCTTTTGTATACAAATTATTGGCATAAATAAATATTGATGTGTGATAGATTCATACATCAATATTTACTTATTTGTATAGGCATACGAATAAATCTCTCTCTCTCTCTCTCTCTCTCTCTAGCTTTGCCAACTATCCTCTGGGTTTGGGAATGAACAAAATCTCAATGCTGGTGGTGGATGAATCTCCAGCACAGGGGGAGACCTTGATCACGTACAAACTCACCATCTACAGAGAAGACCGTCCAAGTCTGCCCTTGTTTGAGGACTTCACAGCATGTGGTTTTGTGCAGGTAAGTGAATTCTACATTTGCACTCTGGTTGAATTGGGAGTGATCTGTTAACCCAGGTGAAAAAGGCCAAATGAAAATTGTTAGAAAAAAGGTGTCTGCTTGCAAATCCAAAGTGTGGTCTCATTTCCCAAAAGCAAGGGTCCCAGGCAGTTATGTGAGCTCCCTCGTGAGTGCTTTGCCTTGTAGTGCGGTGGCTGCTCCCTACACATACCGGGCTCAGTGGACGTATTGTGCTTGATACTGAAAAAAACAAAAAATGTCTGAGTGCTCACACTGAATTATAGAATTGATTTTACATTTGAGTTTACATTTCCATGTTAAATTGTGCCGTGTTTCTTGGATTTGTACCTGAATCTACTCTGAAATCTTAAACGAGGTTTGGTGTTTATTTTAAAGAATCAGAGAAAAATTGACGAAGCTATTTCGTGGAAGGGATATCAGACGAATGAAATTACATTTGCTTGAGTGGATATATTTTTCCTGCACTTCTTGTATCATAATCATTCCTAAACGCTGTAGTTTCTCCAGTGAACACCACATACCATTGTAGCCCTGTTGATCTTGGAGGGTGAATATGACCCAGAGACTTTGTCTTATTTGATGGTTCTTTCCTCCATATCTTTCCCATGTTAGGATTCCAGATATAACCTTGTACGTTTCCTCACGTCATTTGCCCTCACTATAGGTGCTTCTGGGGAAGTAGTAATTGGTGTTAGCGTATCTCCTAATTCACTCAGAAAGCATAATGGCGAATATGTCGTGTCTCAGTGACTAATCACCTACTGGGAGCATTGAAGCACAGGGATTAGTAACAGAGAAGCAACCAACTGAGTCTCCGGGAGCAGGATGAATACCATGTTTCCTTAAAGGTAATAGCCAGAGAAGTGTTCTCTCCCCACTCTCCCCGTTATTTGTCAGAGTGTATTTTATGCTCCTGCTAACCTGGCCTGATCACTCTTCCCCAGATATGCTTCCCGACCTGGGTGGTGGTTACACCCATAACCAGGAGGTGTACAGATATATAAAACATTCAATTAACTATGCACTTAAGATTTGTGCAACTTACTGTATATAAAACACGTATAACTGTATTTTGCTATATATAAGTTATATATACTGAATATAAATTATACCTCAATAATATAAAAGAAAAGCATTAGTGGGGAAGTATGTATTATCTTCCAAGACATGCTTCTCTTCTCTAATATTAAATGCATCAGAAATAAGTTAATTACCATGCAATTACCTTAGACAATGGATTGTATTAGGAATTTCTTACTATAATATGAAGAAAAATATTAGAAAATTCTTGTGGGATATATCCTACAGATGACTGCAGAAAAATATTTCAGTCATTTATAAGAATTCCTTCCAGAAGGTCTTAATTTAAAGTTTATGTGTGGTCCCATAGCAGTGCTATATTTTAAAACATGGAGAAGTGTCTAATAAGCACTCATATTTTTTTTAGCCTTTCTTTTACAAACTGTCAAATGACTGAAGAGATAGTGAATGAATAATAAGGATTGATTTAGACACTTGGCGCGAGGCATGAGTGGCCTCAGGAACCAGGAGAAGTCAGTAACAGAGGTAGGATTTTTCTCACCCTAGGCTCCAGTGACAGTTCTAATACAGAGACCTTTCCGTTGTTTCTTGTTTATGCTTAATCTCATTTGATTCTCTGGGTTTCACTGCAAGCTGATACCATCATGAAGTCAGAATACAAACAGTAAAAGACACAATGTCGGAACTCCTATCAATTCTCAGCTATTTCCAGATTCATAGCTAAAAAGATACAGATCACGAGCGTTTGGTCTTCTAAATTGTTCTTTTTCTTTTTTATCAACAACTATAGTGCCTTACTATATTCTTTTGTTCTTTTTTTTTTTTTTTAAGATTTTATCCATTTATTTGACAGAGATCACAAGTAGGCAGAGAGGCAGGCAGATAGAGAGAGAGAGAGGAGGAAGCAGGCTCCCTGACAGGCAGAGAGCCCGATGTGGGGCTCGATCCCAGGACCCTGAGATCATGACCTGAGCTGAAAGCAGAGGCTTTAACCCACTGAGCCACCCAGGCGCCCCACCTTACTATATTCTTATGTTGAAGTCCAGAGTCAGAACATTGCATATTAAATGGTAGACCGTTCTATTTGAAGCCCTAAAGTGTGTATGTGGCAAACCAAAGGAAATGAATTAAACTTTAACTAGAGTCTATTTGTTGGTTAAAGGGGAAAATGACATTTCCTCCCTATATTATAAATTAGATTTTGTCCTAATGGCTCCATTATTAAATTTTAAACAAACCTAAAAGGAGATCTACGTTAAAATCGCCAAAAAAGAGTATTCGATTTGTGGTTAATTAAGCCTCCTAATTTCTCCTGCTCCCATTCTCTTACCTTCTGGTTACCGGCTCTTCATTTTGTCATTTCACTGAAAGACTACCAGTGAAGGGAAAGCATATCTAAGGTATACCAGTCAAAAAATCAATGTCTTTGACATTTTGATGAATAAGATAATTTGTTAATAGGCATTTTGTATCATTTATATGATCAAATATTGTTAAATACCTACTTAGCCATAATTAACTATCTGAGTTTGGTGTCTGTTTCTAATGATAGTGCCGGTTGGAATTTGTATATGGTTGCCACTGAAGCAACTCTTATTTACTGAGTTACCAGTTACTTACCTTACCAGTGAGGAGGAAAGGGCTCATTTATATGACTGATATAAAACAACTAGATTTGGACCGAGGCTTTTCAGTCTCAGCACTATCAGTATCAGGGATGGATAATTTTTATGGTTTTGGGGAACTATCCTGTGCATTGTAGAATGTTTAGGAACATCCCTGGCCCCTATCCAGTATATTCCTCTCCAAACTGTGACAACCAAAAATGTCTCCAGACATTGCCATATATCAGCTGGGGGCGGGGGGGCAAAATTGACCCCAGTCAAGAACCACTAATATATACCAATAGCAGGCCTGCTTTTCTACTTTCCACTAGTAAATCTAGTAAACCTGTAGTGGATGTACTCAATGTATGAATAGGTTAGAGGTAATCCTTCAATGTTAAATGTTGAAGAATCACTCTTCTCTTTTCTCATCCTTGTAATTTTAATTATGTCTATAGTCAGCGATACTACTATGACAACTCTTTATTCTTCTCATTAATTTGCCATCTTTTCTAACGTAATTATAATCAGAAATATGTGTTCCATTTTAGAAAACATGATTCTTAATGAAACATAAAAAGGGATATAACATACCTAGACTGTTCTTTCATTTTGATTTACCCATAAATAGCATAATGTTTTGCTGCTAGGAAGAGAGATTTAGAAAGTAATAAACTGTTATTATGGCTGGAATATGTCATGCTTTGGAATTAATAAAATATATTTATGTTCTAAGGAAATTAAAACACTTATGGGGAAATATTTCTTTTAATATCTCTTTCCAAATCAAAAAGTTTTGACATGGATAACAGTATAGCATCCATAGAAATTGATTTGTATAAAAGATCTATGGTCTCATAAACATTTTACCCCCAAAGTGTTGTGCCAGAATAGGGCCATAAATAAAATCTACAGAAAGGCCGTATAGCAGAAGCGTAGGAGAGTACATTTCAGGGATCCATTTGTTAGAAACAGCCTTCATTTTAAAATAAATTACAATTAATAAAGGGAAAATACCAAAGATAGAAAAAAACCGTTAAGAAAAAAAGTTGGTCCAGCATTTAGCTATACATTTAAAACTCACATTTGCTGCCTTATTGTAAAAAAAAAATTAACTAGTGATCTATATGCTAAGCTATTAAATGATATATAAACAACTTCAGTTATAACATTTGGAAATGCTTTATAATTTTCCCATTTATTTTTGTACTGTTTCTCAACACAAAGGTTACAGAACAATTCATGTGATAATTGTCAAATATTTTAGCAAATACCCACAATAAAAGAATAGGAGAGAATTTATTGATGACTACTTAAAAAAAAAAACAAAAAACCTTTTTTCATTTCCAAAGTTGTAATATCTCTGAAATACTCATTATAGTGATTTTTTGGTTACCTTGCCTACACCACTACACCAGAAGAACGTGATTCAATTTTTCAACAATAGAGCCTGTGTTGTAGTGAAAGGTTCCCAGCTAACAACTGTTTATTAATTATCTGCTATGTACTTTGCTCTTACAAATATGTCATATACTGTACGAGATACAGTGCAATATTTGTAAAACTTTTATTATATGACATACATGATGCTAAGCACTTTACCTTTTTATCTTATTTAATGTTCTTCACAACTTTAAACATAGTGATAACTGTACCGACCCCTAATTTAGGGAGGACATAAGGCTTTAAAACAAGGTAATTAGTAGCAAAGGTGGTATTTGAATACAGGTCTGACAGACTTCAAACTGATCCCCTTAATCATTACTCTGGACTATAGAATCTGAAGCTCTTATTACACCTATACTCTAATTAACCTATTTAGGATATTCATTTAGCCAAAATTTAACCTGTTAAAATTTAGTTAGTAGAATTTGTTTTCATGGTCATGTACAATGATAATTTTTTTTTAAAGATTTTATTTATTTATTTGACAGAGAGAGATCACAAGCAGGCAGAGAGGCAGGCAGAGAGAGAGGAGGAAGTAGGCTCCCTGCTGAGCAGAGAGCCCGATGCGGGGCTCGATCCCAGGACCCTGAGATCATGACCTGAGCCGAAGGCAGCAGCTTAACCCACTGAGCCACCCAGGCGCCCCTACAATGATAATTTTTATAATGTTCTAGAATCACTGAAAAATTCTGAGGTCTTCATAATCCTTAATTTGATGAAGACTGTTATCAAATCAGAATATTCCCTTCCATAGTGTATCTATCGGAAGGAAAATTTTCAAGCCTAACATCTACTGTTTTACTAGGCACTATATATATCCTAATGTCCCCATATTTAATCAGGCTTAATATTTTATATATTGGAATTCTACTTAGCCAAACTATTACT